CCTGCCTCGGTGGGAGACGACCGACTTGTTAAAAAAAAAAAAAAAAATAATAATAATAATAATAACAACAGAGCTTCAGTTCCCTGGCTGTCTTCAAGCTGGCACTGGACAAACACCTGAAGTCGGTAACTGACCAGCCGGGCTGTGGCTCGTACGTTGGATTGCGTGCAGCCAGCAGTAACAGCCTGGTTGATCAGGCTCTGATCCACCAGGAAACCTGGTCACAGACCGGGCCGCAGGGGCGTTGACCCCCAGAACTCTCTCCAGGTAAACTCCAGGTAATAATAATACTATACGTACTTATAATAATATAATATTATTATTATAACAATGGAGCTTCAGTTCTCTAAATTAATAATAATAATAATAATAATAATAATAATAATTATAATAATGATAGAGCTTCAGTTCCCTAAATTAATAGTAATAATGCACAATACATATGTAATAATAATTCAGATTGCTTCTGCTAGTTAGCACAGCTGGTAAACAGTAAACACGTTTACATCCCTGTGGAGGCAATTCTCTTATGCTTGTTTGCATTTTTTAGTCATTTGGCCAAATTTCTTTTTTCTAACCATGGGTCCTAGTGATCTACTGCAGTTAGCCACAAAATAATAATAATAATAGTCAAATTGGGACAGAAATGGCGGACGCTTCTGCCGCTGCGTCTGCCACCATATTATGGCCTATTTTATTCATTCTAGAGTATATATCATGTTTCTGTGCTAATTATATTGTTTATTATGATATATCAGATGAATTGTGATAGATAAATAAGCCGTACAGTTGATAATAGCATCATATTCAAGTATTTTTTCTTGTTTCTCCAGAGTGCAGGAACGGATTAATGGCTTTTGAATTAATTTAAATGAGGAAAATTAATTTGATATGTGAGTATAAATTGAGTAACGAGCTAGCTCTTGGAATGGATTAAACTCATAAGTCAAGGTTCCACTGTATTTATAGATGGGGTTGTAAAAGTAGTAAATGCTAGGGTGTTGGGGAGAGGGGTGGGGTTAAATTATGGAGAATCAAATACAAAATGGGGGATAACACAGTTACTTTTGATGATATTGTGCTTATGAGAGATTCTAAAGAAAAGTTGCAAAGGTTAGTGGATGAGTTTGGGAGGGTGTGTAAAGGTAGAAAGTTGAAAGTGAACATAGATAAGAGTAAGGTGATGAGGGTATCAAATGATTTAGATAAAGAAAAATTGGGTATCACATTAGAAAGAGGGAGTATGGAAGAAGTGAATGTTTTCAGATATTTAGGAGTTGACATGTCAGTGGATGGGTTTATGAAGGATGAGAAAAACCATAGGCTTGACAAAGGAAAAAAGGCGAGTAGTGCACTGAGGTATATGTGGATAAAAAAAACGTTATCTATGGAGGCAAAGAAAGGAATGTATGAAAGTATAGTGGTACTAACTCTCTTACATGGGTGTGAAGCTTGGGTTGTAAATGCTGCAGCGAGAAGGCTGTTGGAGGCAGTGGAGATGTCCTGTCTAAGGGCAATGTGTGGTGTAAATATTATGCAAAAAATTCAGAGTGTGGAGTTAATAAAAGTATTAGTCAGAGGGCTGAAGAGGTGTTGTTGAGGTGGTTCGGTCATTCAGAGAGAATGGATCAAGGTAGAATGACATGGAGAGGGTATAAATCTGTAGGGAAAGGAAGGTAGGGTAGGGGTCATCCTCAAAAAGGATGTAGAAAGGGGGTAAAAGGAGGTTTTGTGAGCAAGGGGCTTGGACTTCCAGCAAGTATGCGTGAGCATGTTAGATAGGAGTGAATGGAGATGAATGGTTTTTGGGAACTGACGATCTGTTGGAGTGTGAGCAGGGTAATATTTAGTGAAGGGATTCAGGGAAACCAGTTATTTTTATATAGCTGGACTTAAGTCCTTTAACCCTTTGAGGGTCGACAGGCCCTCTCCGAGACTCATTCTCAGGGTCGGCCAAATTTAAAAAAAAAAAAAAAAAAAAATTTTCTTATGAAAAGATAGAGAATCTTTTCCCGATCATAATGACACCAAAAAATATGAAATTTGATGGAAAACTTACGGAATTATGCTCTCGTGAAGTTAGCGGTCTCGGTGATGTTTACGGATAGGCGATTTTGCCCACTTTGAGCCCCATTTTCGGCCAGTTCCACTGTACTAGTCGACAAAAAACATAAATATTTCGCTAGAACTTCATTTTTTCTATTGAGTGAGTGCAAGAAACCACCAATTTACCAATTTCAACTATCCAGTACAGTGGTCAGAATTTAGCAATTTTGCCAATTTCACACAAATTTCAAAAGATGCCAATTTCCGAATAGGGTCCAGAACAAACAAGAAATACATTCCTGGCACTAAAATGACATTTCCTCTGTTCATTAGTCACGTCACAAGGCCCCTCTTACATTCTTTTGCTTTCCACTTTGAATTTTTATTCTCACAAAAAATAGAAGATTTACTGTTATGCAGACTACTGCATTAGTGTAAAAAATGGTATGAATCATATTGGCGCACTTGCAAAAGAATATTAGACTCACCAGTTGACGTGTATTGGACGCTTGGCATGTTTTGTTTTTTTTTGAACTTTGGTAAAATCGAACATTTCTGCATTTTGAGCTAAATTTAAAAGGGTATTTTTCATTGTAAAAACCTCAAATCACCCAAATTTCTATCATATGTCTTCCTTTCTATAAATAAACCCAAAGGAAAACTAAAATACAACAATAAAACCAACGAAATACGTTTAAGTCGCTGTTTTATTCCAAAAAAAACGGTCAAATTTTTTTTTTTTTCTCATTTGCACTGTGTGCTGAGGATTTTTTTTAACCGTGCCACTGCCCACATAACCCATTTTTTCATATGGAGGCCTACCAGCTTTCTCCCATTTGATTTGGGGCGCTGAATTTGGGGTACTAGTACTCAAAAACCCGGGGTCGTAACCCGTACTGTACGCCGAAACCCCCCAAGGGAAAAATAGTAGTACAATCCTGCACTTTAAAAGGGGGGTTTGGGATTTTTGGGCATTTTGGGGGGGGTAATAGGACGGTAATAATAACTGGGCCCTGATTTTGTATTATATTGATGTATTTTTATTTCAGGTCACTTTTTATATTGTATCTTTTTTATCTTCTAAATTGTTGTATGGGCCCTCTGAAAAAAAACATTTATTGTATGAGTGAGGTAAAGGTTAATTAGATGAAAGTATTTCTTTTTTGGGATTTTCTTTCTTTTGGGTCCCCTGAAAAGGGTAGGAGAGGACTATTTTAAAATATTAAACCCCGCAAAAAATTTAGAAAAGTGCAAAGGTTTGCGACAAGGTTAGTCACAGAGCTAAGGGGAATGTCCTTGAGAAAGGTTAAGGGAAAATTGGCCTAAAAACACGGGGGACAGGGGGGTCAGGGGAGACATGAAAAAAAACAAAAAAATGTGTGAATAGACAAGTGGACGAGACAGGAATTTCCCAAGGGGGACACAGAAAAAGGGGTAAAACTGGAAGTTAAGCCCCAGATAAGTCAAAGGGGTTAGGAAGTTTTTTCTTGTCACGGGTATAGGAAGTGGAAAGCCTAGCAGGTGAGTTATGGAGGCAGGAAACCTCATAGGTTTTTAAGAGAGGTATGATTGGGCCAGGAGCAGGGAGAGAGGGGGGCCTAGTAGCACTGTGAAGGGCATGGCCAGGAGCTGAGTTTGACCCCTGCAACCACAATTGGCGGTACAAATTGGTGAGTACCAACAACACACACACACACCACACCAGCGACCAGTGAAGAGGCGGGGCCCGGAGCATGACTCGACCCCTGCAACCCGGCTTGGCGAGGCACAGGTCGGCCTCACTATCCGGATCAGGGCTGTATGGGGGATTATGAGTTTGCTGGATTCAGAGTGGTTGGTTAGAATACACTTAATTAAATCAATAGAGACTCTTTTTTCTACTCTTTCATTTTCATCACTGCTTTCTCCCCACTGGCTTGCTGCTGTGGATTTACAACCATCTGCACAAAATTTTTGGTTTAGTATAAAGATGAAAACTGATCAAAAAGATGAAATTTGAAAAAATGCTAGTTGAAATTGTGCTGGATTATTTATGGAATGGATAAATGACGCGTATTTGTGAGGCCACCCTGTATATATTAAATTTTTTCATAAGAAAGAAGCAAACTTTCTTTACTGGGTCTTCCAGGTAATCCCCGAGGGTCAATGAACGCTCGTTCAAAAATCTGATGGGCATTAACAGGCGGCAGCCCGGGCGCTGAAAATTGGTTGGGGAAAAGTTGTGGTGTACTAACAAGATGTAAAAAAAACACTTATGTACAGTTTTAAAACATTTATTAGAAGAAAAGTTTCCCCTAATAAATTTTCCTAACAAACCATAGTGTGTTTTTTTTACACGTTGAGTTTGCTGTTAGATGTAAGATAGAATTGGAAAATAATCATTGCCCAGTTTTATTGTTTAACAATTATGTTTAAGATTAGCATTATTCTCGTATAATAGCGAATTATTAAATGTAATTATTTTAGGATTTAAACAGGTTTATAAAAGATATCCCATAATATTTTTTGTTAAAGAAGCATGAAAGAGCTGATATTTATCCACTAATGATCAAACCTGCAGTATTATCCTCGAGGGAATGAGAGACAATCAAGTTTGGGCTAAGGAAATGGAAAATAAGGTAAATTCCTTGGATCAAGAGCTCCTCACTCAGTGCCTTTTTTGATGGGTTATTTATCATAAGCACGTGTTTTTACACTAGTGCCACATCTCAGCAGTCTTAGGAGGGACCCTGGGATCCACGTGTTCACATAATTAGGTTCAATCCAAGGATGGGGAGGGAGGGCAGGCTCAATTCCTTGGATCAAAAACCCTTAACTAGCATGATGGATCTCCCCTGAGTGGCCATGATGTCCCTCAAAAGAAACAAGAAATATTTAATATATTTATTAAGGAAGAATGAATCAAAAGGAATTTTACATACGTAATATAACCTTGTGATAATTACAACAAATTTTATTAGGTCTGTCTGTTATAAGGTCTGAAGGTAAGTAAAAATATATTTCTTTATTACTACCACTAACCTTTTCAGGTCCAAATATTCCAGTGCTTTATTGAAGTTGGTAACACTCTCATTTATCGCCTTTCCAGCATTAGTAAAGTGTTCTGCGATGAAAAAAAAATCAAGTCATATAAATAATCAAGTTTCTACATTTACAAAAATATATAAATCCATATATTACAAATTTCCTTAGATAAATCTCCTTAGATCAAGAGTTGGAAGTTCACACTGGAAGAGGATTTCAGTCATTGTCCTCATTTAGAAATTCTGTACACAAAAATTATTCCCTCTTCTATTCACTTTTAAAAAAGGTTTACATTTCAAAATAAAAACTTCAAAGAATGACATTCATAAGTACAGATCTCCCTCAACATTTGCGTTTTCAACTTTCGTGGGCTTCACACATTCGCGAATTCCCTACCGCTAAATTCCCAGCCGCCAAATTCCCAGCCACCAAATCATATTTAACCCTTAAACGGCCCAAACGTATATATACGTTCACTCACGTAGCGCCCCAAATTTTTTGAGAGAAAAAAAATCTGTTTTTTAAAAGGAAGAAAGAGCATATGGTACCCAGGCATCCCCAATTATTTTAATATGGCACACAGTGAGTGCGCTCACCCATTCTCTCATGTCTAGGTGACTCAGGCTTATCGTGGCAATGTTGAATGAATGACAAAGAAAACGTATATATACATTTGGGGTGCTATGCACGTGAACGTATATATACGTTTGGACCGTTTAAGGGTTAAGTTTCCTGCCACCTGCGAGTCCCTACTACCCTCCCTCCAACCCCCGCAACTGGCAGCCAGCCCTCCCACCACTGTGTGGTGAGTGTTTTGTTTGTTCATTATTTGCTATTAAACTGCAGTATAAATAATGTCAACCCATTCATGACTGCATATTGGAATGGATATTCGGACAGGTATTGGACGGTGACATCATATGTTTACTCTTGAACACAGCAAAGAATCAAACATTTCTGTTTTTTGTTGTTGGAGGGATATGTTGTGTATCTTTATATGTGTATGCTTCTAGACTGTTGTATTCTGAGCACCTCTGCAAAAACAGTGATAATGTGTGAGTGTGGTGAAAGTGTTGAATGATGATGAAAGTATTTTCTTTTTGGGGATTTTCTTTCTTTTTTGGGTCACCCTGCCTCGGTGGGAGACGGCCGACTTGTTGAAAAAAAAAAAAAAAAAAAAAAAAAAAAATAATAATAATAATAATAATAATAATAATAATAATAATAACCCTTTGAGGGTCGCCAGGCCCTCTCAGACTTGTTCTCAGGGTCGCCAAAATTTAACAAAAAAAAATTATTTTTTCTTATGAAAAGATAGAGAATCTTTTTCTGGTCATAATGACACCAAAAGTATGAAATTTGAAGGAAATCTTACGGAATTATGCTCTTGCGAAGTTAGTGGTCTCAACGATGTTTATGCATCAGCAATTTTGAACACTTTGAGCCCTTTTTTCAGCCAATTCCAGTGTACTAGTCGACAAAAATCATAACTATTTCGCTAGAACTCCATTTTTTCTATCAAACGAGTACAAGAAACCACACATTTACCGATTTCAACTATCCAATAGTGGTCAGAATTTAGCAATTTTGCCAATTTCACACAAATTTCAAAAGATGCCAATTTCCAAACAGGGTCCAGAATAAACAAGAAAGACATTCCTGGCACTAAAATAACATTTCCTCTGTTCATCAGTCACATCCCCATGCCCCTCTTACATTTCTTTTGCTTTCCACTTTGAATTTTTATTCTCACAAAAAATAAGATTTACTGTTATGCAGAGTACTGCATTAGTGTAGAAATGGTATAAATAATATCAGCACACTTGTGAAAGAATATTAAATACACCAGTTGACGTGTATTGGACGCATGGCATGATTTGTTTACTTTTGAACTTTGGTAAAAATTGAACATTTCTGCTACTTTGAGCTCAATTTCAAGGTACTTTTCATTGTGAAACCAATCAAAATCATCTCAATTTCTGTAATATGTCTTCCATTCTATAAAATAAGACCAGAAAAACTAGAATACAACCAAAAATACCATACGAAAATACAGTGCAAAGCTGCTGTTTTAAACCAAAAACACGATCAAAGTTTTTTTTCTCATTACGCACTGAGTGCTGCAGGATTTTTTTTTTATACTGCACACACTGACCACATAGACCCATTCTTTCATATGTAGGCCTACCAGCTTTCTCTTGCTAGATTTGAGGGCATTAGAATTTATGCGTACTAGTACGTCAAAAACCCTGGCACGTAAGCCATACTAGTACGGCCGAAACCCCGAAAGGGTTATTAAATGTGATAGAATTGAAGAAGGAAATTGAACAAAAATACGAGGGTTGAAGCAATAGTGGAGGGAGTGGTTGACACATCGTCAGTGTGGCTTTGTTTATGGAGAAGTGAGCATTAGTCTCTGTGCACTTCCAAACATTTCACAATAATTCATTGTGTTTGGTGCTTGTAGATTGAGTGCGACTGGAGTGGTTGAGGCAGCGGTTGAGGAAGCGGTTGAGGAAGCGGTTGAGGCAGTGGGTGAGGCAGTGGGTCACCGTCTAATATCTGTCCGAATAGCCATTCCAATATGCAGTCATGAATGGGTTTGACATTATTTATACTGTAGTTTAATAGCAAATAATGAACAAACAAAACACTCACCATACAGTGGGGGGGGGCTGGGTGCCAGTTGTGGGGGTCGGAGGGAGGGTAGTAGGGACACGCAGTGGTTGAGGCAGTGGCATTTAATAACATACATGTTATTAAACCATAACAAGTATGTATTTAGTACAATTTACAATGTTTTCATGTACAGTGGACCCCCGGTTAACGAACTTTTTTCATTCCAGTAGTATGTTCAGGTGCCAGTACTGACCGAATTTTTTCCCATAAGGAATATTGTGAAGTAGATTAGTCCATTTCAGACCCCCAAACATACACATACAAACGCACTTACATAAATACACTTACATAATTGGTCGCATTTGGAGGTGATCGTTAAGCGGGGGTCCACTGTATTTTGTGATTGTTCATGGTTCAACAAGTTAAGGAAGCAGTATTGTATTATATATTCTTACAATATATTGGGGCACCTAACATTTGTGATTTTTCAACATTCGCAAGGCTCTTGATCCCCTAACCCTCGCGAATGTTGAGGGAGACCTGTACATTACTAGAGTTAAAAAGAGAAACTTTTGTTTTTCTTTTTTTGCCACCCTGTTTTGGTGGGATATGGCCAGTTTGTTGAAAAAAGAAGATTACAACCATTACATTAAATATTTAAATGAAGCTGTACCTTTATGGGGAAGATTTGAATCAGATTACTAACTATGGAAGGTTAAACTGATTTTAATTCAAGGCAATCAAAGTGGCCTATTTCCAATGGGCTACTTTCAAATTCAAAGTTTATTCTCTATAAGGATTACAATGCTGAGTTTACAGAATTTGGTTATTGTGTGGTTTGCATGCAGTAAAATAATAATTACAGAGTGTACCACTAGAACACCTAGCATGGCTAGGCATTTCGGGCAGACTTAGATTAAATCTTAAGTTTAAAATATTACAAAATTATGAGGTAAGTTGGTATTATGGCTAAGTGACTAAATACTAGTTTGTGAGTTTAGCAATGTGAATGCTTTTGTTTTGGCACTATACATAGTTTCAGTACTTAGGTGTTCTCCCAAGATGCATGACCCTCAGTATGGTATTTTATTGGGTATTGTTTCGTACCTGTCATAAATATTGCATGTAATTTCATACCGCACTGGTCAACAAGAAAATTAACTATACCGTTCTACCAGCCTTGCCAAGTTGCAACAGACAGCACTCGACATACATAAACTATAGGAAGACTTGCCCATACGTCTAGCTTCACCCAAGATTGTAGCTCTGTAATGTTGAGGTACAGTTCCCATTATGTACAGGAAGGCCCCGCTTTACGGCGTTTCACTTTACGGCATTCCGCTAATACGGACATTTCAAATTATGACCAAAACTCGCTATACGGCTCCCCCCACCTGACTTTCTAATACGGTCACCGCGCCCCACCCTGTTTGTTTACATTCTCCATGAGCTCAGTAAGCACTAAGTCTCTCCATTTTGTCTGGAAACTCCAAAATTTCAAATGTTTTTAAAAGATATTTCATATTTTATATATACTCTGATAATTATACTTATGTATACCTGTACCTAAATAAACTTACATACTGTGCTGGCATGCAGGTACACATTAACCCTTTCAGGGTCCGTCCCGTAGATCTACGGCTTTACAGTGAGTGTCCAAACCGTAGATCTACGCCATGAGCTCAGCTCACTCTGATAAACTGTGAGTGGTACATTTGGGCCTAGATATGAGAGAATACATCTATGTGGTAAGTGTGCACCACATAAAACAGATCCTGCAGCACACTGTGTATAATGAGAGAAAAAAACTGAAATCATGATTTTTCGATTAAAACAGCAACTTTGCAGTGTTTTTTCGTATGTTTTTTATAGTTGTATTTGCGATTTCTTGGTCTCATTTGATAGAATGGAAGACATATTACAGAAATAGAGATGATTTTGATTGGTTTTAGCACTGGAAATGGCTTGAAACTGAGCTCAAAGTAGCGGAAATGTTAAATTTTTGCCGATATTCAAAGAGTAAACAAACAACCTCACACGTCTAATACACGTCAGCTGATGGGTCTAATATACATTCACAAATATGGTGATGATATTTATACAATTATTACAGTATTGCATAACAGTAAATCTTCTATTTTTTGGTGTGAATAAAAATTCATTATGTGAATAAAAAATCAAAATGGAATTTATTTGTAAAGCCTCAAAACATAACTAATGAACAGAGGAAATGTTAGTTTAGTGCCAGGAATGCCTACATTGTTTATTCTGGACCCTATTTTGAAATTGGAATATTTTGAACTTTGTGTTAAATTGGCCAAATTAACAATTTCCGATCACTTTATTTTGTAGTTGAAACAGTTGACTTGGCGATTTCTTGTGCTCAATCGATAGAATAGAAGTAATACTAGTGAAATAGCTAAGAATTTGGTTGATTGGAATAATGTAATTGGCCTAAAATGGGAGTCAAAGTCGGCAAAATCGCCGATTCGTAAATATCGCTGACACATCAAAATTCGCGAGAGCATAATTTCGTCAATTTTCCACCAAATTTCGGACTTTTTGTTTTATTACCTTCACAAAAAGATTCTCAATGATTTCATAAGAAAAAATAACAAATTTTTCTTTTGAAAATTCTTGGACACTGGTGCGTGACTCTAGATTTGGGCCTTGGACCCTGAAAGGGTTAAAATTGGTAAGTGTCTTATGTCTCCAGACGTCATATTAGTAATGATAATAATAATCATCGAGTCATTTAAATGTCGTATATTACGTTAATATACACATTTTCATTAATCCATCCATGATATTTTTTTCAAAATTATATAATAAACACGATGCATAACATATAAATAAGATAAATACACCCCACAGTAGAATAAATAAACATAAATGTGAGATGTGGTAGCAGACGACTTGCACAAGTGACGCCATATTAGAAATGATAATAATAATAATACTCACCGAGTCTCATTAAATGTCGTATATTACGGTAATATACACATTTTCATTAATCCATCCATGATATTTTTTTCAAAATTATATAATAAACACGATGCATAACATATAAATAAGATAAATACACCCCACAGGGTAATATTTAGTGAAGGGATTCAGGGAAACCGGTTATTTTCATATAGTCGGACTTGAGTCCTGGAAATGGGAAGTACAATGCCTGCACTTTAAAGGAGGGGTTTGGGATATTGGCAGTTTGGAGGGATATGTTGTGTATCTCTATACGTATATGCTTCTAAGCTGTTGTATTCTGAGCACCTCTGCAAAAGCAGTGATAATGTGTGAGTGTGGTGAAAGTGTTGAATGATGATGAAAGTATTTTCTTTTTGGGGATTTTCTTTCTTTTTTTTGGGTCACCCTGCCTCGGTGGGAGACGACCGACTTGTTGAAAAAAAAAAAAAAAAAAAAAACACCCCACAGTAGAATAAATAAACATAAATGTGAGATGTGGTAGCAGACGACTTGCACAAGTGACGCCATATTAGAAATGATAATAATAATAACAATACTCACCGAGTCTCATTAAATGTCGTATATTACGTTAATATACACATTTTCATTAATCCATCCATGATATTTTTTTTCAAAATTATATAATAAACACGATACATAACATAAAAAGATGATAAATACACCCCACAATAGAATAAATAAACATAAATATAAGATGTGGGAGCCACATAACTTGTACAAGTGACGGCAAGAATAACATTTTCTCTAATCTAACATAAGAGAAAATGTGTTACTGGGGGTAACTGTAGAAAATTATTCCTTTCGTATGTATGTAAAATAAGTTTATTCAGGTATACACAAATACAGTTACATAGATTATCATACATAACAACATACGTGTAGAGAACCTAGGATAACCCAAAAAAGTCAGTGTGACTTATTTCCATTGCCTTCACTCAGAGCTTCATTTCTTCTCAAAATGATGTTACATGAGAATGGGAGTGTTCTTCTTTATTAATTCTACCGTATCAATGTAGAGACAACCTGTACACAATGTAACTTGTACACAAACCAGACGTGTACACTTCGTTTGTTTACAAAACTTACGTTCGCCTGGTTTGTTTACATAACTCTGCGCCTGTCCCCTCTCATGTACTCATTCTTTCTCTCTCTCATTTATTCGTTTTATCTCATTTACTTACTCCTGACCCTACATTAAGACTACAAATATTTTAAGGTAAGTAATGAGTGAACTGTATATACATTTTATCGCTCTGGGATGCTTAAATATCATAGAATAGTATGTGTGGGTGGGGTGGCCTGGTAAGGTAGCCTGGCTATTACCATACATACCACATTGATTTCTTACAATAATACTACTTGTCTCATCCCTACATAAGACTATAAAAATTTAAGGTAAGTAAGAGGACTATGTGTGTATTGTACTTTTTATTGTTCTTTTGAGCCTGGTTCTATTGTAACTTAATATGTTAGTGTAACATTGTTATCTAGTGTTTGTATTTTATAGTGGAAAAAAAGGGTGTTCCACTTACGGCGTTCCGCTTTACGGCGGTAGCCTGGAACCTAACCTGCCTTATAGTGGGGCCCTCTGTATCTAATATTTCACTATCGCCACACCACAGAATGGGGGTGCAGAATAATGATATTTTAAACAAACTATAATAAGAACAATAATACCAGATTATTTCCTTACCTAGTGAAATATTCTGTGAATTAATAAGTGGTCCAAAGCGCTCAATAATGTCATCCTGAGCCTTACTGATGAAGTTTGAGTATTTGACCAGAGAAAATGGAAGGACCTGGAAAATAGAGGTAGGATAAAACTTGTTAGGAGTCTTAACCTGGAGGGTTAACCACCCAGGATAACCCAGTGTAGGGAGTGTTAGCCACCCAGGATAACCCAGGGTAGGAAGGGTTAGCCACCCAGGATAACCCAGGGTAGGGAGTGTTAGCCATCCAGGATAACCCAGGGAAGGGAATATAAGTCATCCAGGATAACCAAAGAAAGTCAGTGCATCATCGAGGACTGTCTTATTTCCACTGTGGTCCTTCAATCTTTTCCCCCAGGATGCCACCCACACCAGTCCACTAACACCCAGGTACCTATTTACATGCTAGATGAACAGTGACAGCAGGTGTAAGGTGGCTAATGGGCAGGTACCTAGTTGCTGCAAGGTGAACAGCAACAGCAGGTGTAAGATGACTAACAGCTAGGTACCTTTTTCCGGCTAGGTGAACAGGGACAGCAGTTGTAAAATGACTAACAGCCAGGTACCTAGATACTGCTTGGTTAACAGGGACAGCAGTTGTAAGGTGACAAACAGCCAGGTACCTACTTACTGCTAGGAGAATAGGGGCATCAGGTGTAAGGTGACTAACACCCAGGTACCTACTTACTGCTAGGTGCACATGCCCATAGTTTCCACCTGTGCCAAGGACTGAACCACAGAAGTTTAACACAGGTCAGCATTACTACCAATGATTCAAAATAATCAGTGGCAGTTGAATGATAGGTCTAGGCCTTTTGTGTTGCAATCAACACATCAGGAGGTTGCAGTGTTACAGAAACAGAGGGGGAAATCCTGAGATTCGTTCCCCCCTGAACGAATCTGCATAGATTTCTTACTCTATTGCAGCAACATTGCAAGTTCCTTATGTGTTGACTGCAACACAAAAGGCCTAGAGCTATCACTTAACTTCCCCTGTGGTTATTTTGCATCTTTTATTGCTCATTCACGATTACTGCAATGATGCCTATCGAATAGTGATGTTTTAAGTAGTGTCCACAGGATGGGTATGGCTTGCATAATTAAGATACTAAAGAAATAAAGTTAGAATATAAAATCCAAATTTTTTTTTCAGTAAGTCTACTGACTAAAGTATAAGTTGTACCATGTGATGAACAACCCATGTGATGAACAACCCACGTGATGAACAACCCACGTGATGAACAACCCATGTGGTGAATAACCCACATGATGAACAACCTTATGATGAACAACCCATGTGATGAACAATTCATACGTCAGTTACTGAAATGTAATTCTCGTCTCAACTAGTACACAAGCGTTTGAGTACCTTAAACAATAACTAGTATGTGAACAAGTGGTTCTCAACTTTACACACTAAGTAGTACACAAGTGTTTGAGAACCTTACACACTAACTATTACACAAGTGTTTGAAAACCTTGGATTCAGAGAGGACGACAGCCAGGTCGCCCCACATGGCTGCCACGGCAGTATGGTAGTGAAAACCTTTATCGTATATCTCACTGGCCAGAGCAAAGGTCTCATAGAGCGTGTGGTACTGCGGCTCCCCGATAGTACTCTGTGGGCAGAACAAACCAACAGTGAATATATTTACACTTGAATGAAACACAGACAAAAAAAAATGTATTCTGAACAAACTTCTCGGAGCTATCATCTACAAATTCAGAATTCTCCTAAGGGAAAAGGAAATAAATTGTAAAATTTAAGAAAAGGGAGACTAAGTGGTTTATATTCTGAGATTGCACGTTGTACACCAAAAAGCATTCATGACTCTTTGTCTATACACAGAATTTGCTTTAATCCCTATTTGAGGGGTTATTGGTGTTAGTACACAGGAGGGTCCCGCTTATACAGCAGGGTAGGTTCCAGGCTTCTGTTGTAAAGTGAAAATCACTGTAAAGCGAATCATAGCCTATTCTTACTTTCAAATGTATATAAAAGCCTGATAACATGTTTACACTATCATATATTTAGTGAATAATGTCAATATCTAAAACTTTTAGCCAGTCATATCCTAAGCCAGTCATCAAGGTCCTAGAAGTCTTCCTTGGTAATAGACAAGGCAGACTTGGCTTTGTTGTCAAGTTCTAGCTGAGATAAGTTCTGCTGGACAATTTTAAGTGCACTAGATTCATGCAATAGTCTGTGTGTACCGTCAACATAAGTGCACTTTATTCCATCCGTCAGTCCACGGTCTTCTGCTTCTCTTACCACTCCCTCTTGTGTACATACAGTGGAACCTCAAAAATCGAACGTATACACATATCGAACGTTTCGAAAATAGGACCATTTTTTTCGGACAAACTGTGTCCCTATTATCGAACACGGCCCTATTTTTGGACCGCCAGGTACGGGACCTGTCTGGCGCCTGCTCTGTTCGCGTCCCTGCGCAGGCGCCGTGAGCAGTCTAGCTTTGTTTACGCTTGAGTGAACACTAACCTGCGCTCTCATTCACGCATTTTACGATTATTTCGTTGTGTTTAGTGCTTGTGGGACTGTGAAATAAGCTGCCATGGGCCCAAAGAAACTTGTTAGTGGTACCCCTGTGGTAAAGAAAGTGAGAAACACCATAGATGTGAAGAAGGAAATAATACAAAAGTATGAGAGTGGTGTGAGACTTGTTGAGCTTGCCGGGATGTATGGGAAAAACAAGTCGACCATCGGTTCTATCCTGTCAAAGAAAGAACAAATCAAGGAAGCTGATGTTGCGAAAGGTGTTAATATAGGGAGTGGATGAGGTGCCTTCTTCAAAGATTAAGGAGATTTGTGCCAAGTGGAATGATATCCAAATGTTTGTGCAGAAGTACCACCCTGAGCTAGCTGAAACAAGCCATCTTTGCAACAAGTTCAGTGACAGAACTATGTCCCATTTTAGAGAAATGTTAAAGAGGCACCAGAAACAGAGGACTGTGGACAGTTATTTTGTGAGACAGGGGTCCAGTGACTCTCAAGCTGGTCCTAGTGGCATTAAAAGACAGAGAAGGGAAGTAACCCCAGAGAGGGCTTTACCTGAAGTCCTCATGGAGGGGGATTCTCCTTCCAAACACTAACCCCAACTCCCTCTCTCCTCCTCTCTATCTTCCAGATGCCATCACCAATCTTCAATAAAGGTAAGTAAAAATGTTATTTTATATGTATTACTATACATAATTAAAAACTATAGTATTTGTTGTATGTAAAACTGTAATTAATCTCCATAAAATGTATTTTTTGTGTGAATATTTTTGGGTTTCTGGAACGGATTAATTGTATTTACATTATTTCTAATGGGAAATATTGCTTCGAATTTTGGACTTTTCGAATTTAGAACTAGCTCCTGGAATGGATTAAGTTCAATTTTTGAGATTCCACTGTAATTATTATTTTTTTTTTTAACAAGTCGGCCGTCTCCCACCAAGGCAGGGTGACCAAAAAAGAAAGAAAATCCCCAAAAAGAAAATACTTTCATCATCATTCAACACTTTCACCTCACTCACACATAATCACTGTTTTTGCAGAGGTGCTCAGAATACAACAGTTTAGAAGTATATACTTAAAGATACACAACATATCCCTTCAAACTGCCAATATCCCAAAGCCCTCCTTTAAAGTGCAGGCATTGTACTTCCCATTTCCAGGACTCAAGTCCGGCTATATAAAATAACCGGTTTCCCTGCATCCCTTCACTAAATATTACCCTGCTCACACTCCAACAGATCGTCAGGTCCCAAATACCATTCGTCTCCATTCACGCCTATCTAACACGTTCACACACGCTTGCTGGAAGTCCAAGCCCCTCGCCCACAAAGCCTCACTTACCCCAACCCTCCAACCCTTTCGAGGACGACCCCTACCCCGCCTTCCTTTCCCTACAGATTTATACGCTCTCCATGTCATTCTACTTTGATCCATTCTCTCTAAATGACCAAACCACCTCAACAACCCCTCTTCAGCCCTCTGACTAATACTTTTATTAACTCCACACCTTCTCCTAATTTCCACACTCCGAATTTTCTGCATAATATTTACACCACACATTGCCCTTAGACAGGACATCTCCACTGCCTCCAACCGCCTCCTCGCTGCAGCATATACAACCCAAGTTTCACACCCATATAAGAGTGTTGGTACCACTATACTTTCATACATTCCCTTCTTTGCCTCCATAGATAGCATTCTTTGTCTCCACATATACCTCAAAGCACCACTCACCTTTTTTCCCTCATCAATTCTATGATTAACCTCATCCTTCATAAATCCATCCGCTGATACATCAACTCCCAAATATCTGAAAACATTCACTTCTTCCATACTCCTCCTCCCCAATTTAATATCCAATTTTTCTTTATCTAAATCATTTGATACCCTCATCACCTTCCTCTTTTCTACATTCACTTTCAACTTTCTACCTTTACACACACTCCCAAATTCGTCCACTAACCTCTGCAATTTTTCTTTAGAATCTCCCATAAGCACAGTATCATCAGCAAAAAGTAACTGTGTCACTTCCCATTTTGTATTTGATTCCCCATAATTTAATCCTACCCCTCTCCCAAACACCCTAGCATTTACTTCTTTTACAACCCCATCTATAAATATATTAAACAACCATGGTGACATTACACATCCCTGTTTAAGACCTACTTTTACCGGGAAGTAGTCTCCCTCTCTTCTACACACCCTAATCTGAGCCTCACTATCCTCATAAAATAACTTTACAGCATTTATTAACTTACCACCTATTCCATATACAGTGGACCCCCGCATAACGATCACCTCCCAATGCGACCAATTATGTAAGTGTATTTATGTAAGTGCGTTTGTACGTGTATGTTTGGGGGTCTGAAATGGACTAATCTACTTCACAATATTCCTTATGGGAACAAATTCAGTCAGTACTGGCACCTGAACATACTTCTGGAATGAAAAAATATTGTTAACCGGGGGTCCACTGTACTTGCAACATCTGCCACATTGCTCCCCCTATCCACTCTATCATATTATATCTTCACTATATGCACAATGGAATACAGGCGGGCACCACTTTACAGCACTTCACTTCATGGTGTTTCGCTAATACAGCAGTTTTCAATTATACCCATTTTTCATTTATTCAGACTTCCTATAATAAATATATTCACCACACACTATAAACTAAGGACGAAAACATTTTACAATATGTAATGTGTGTACTGTATATGCATTTTTTTAGACCTAGCTCTATTGTTCACTTAATATATGATAGTATAAACATGTTAGCAGGCTTTTATATGCATATGAAAATGAAAAAAGCTATGTATCACTCTACAGCAGTATCCTGGAGCCTAACTTGCTGTATGAGTGGGGTTCTCCTGTAAAACTTTACAGGATACATCGATGGTGCAAGGTTATTAGCATAATGTACAAAATACTAAGTTTGAGAGATACATAACTACACAAGTGAGCTTGGTAACACTTAAATAATAAAAAGTTTCCTCAGCTCATAGCTGAGATGCGTACCTAGAATACGACAAACGTTACCCCTCTGAACTTCAGCATTTAGACTCGGAAACAGAAAACTAGTTGCCCTGGGATCTTTAGTTGCTGATGAGTCTTTTTCCATAATTCCTTTAGAAAGATGGATGCACTCTGCCCCATGAACCGAGGCTCTCTGATGATCAAGTTCACTGTAATTTCTAGACTTCTGGGACTCCCTGAAGTTGACACTGCACCTCCTTCATTATTGCTGTGATGGAGACAGGTGTCAGCCACATGTCTAGTTCCACACCACCTGCTTGCTATCTGTCCATATGTTAGAAAATTCTAACTGGATACTTTAAGCTGCCATCAGATCTGTAACAGCTGGTCATCCAGCAGTTGGAAGGATTCTCTCGGTGACGTTAGCTTCTTCATCCCTTGTAATTTTTGTCTTTAGATCTATGCCAAATGAGACCATGGTACCTGAATCGGTTACTGATGCGTTGCCACCAGCACACCTGTTCGGCGAGTTTAGGGGCAGCAAGGCAAAGTGCAACACCAACATGAATATAGCCTGAGGGACAAGGCATGTGTCTAGAGAGGAACTTGAGATAACCAATAGAAAATTTCCCACATGAGGAGTTCTCACTGCCAGATGAATTCAGTATATCCCCGACACTCAAGCACTGTATGCTATGTTCTCCACAACTGGCTGTTTCAGGGCAACTTTTAGTTGTAAGGGAGGAAATGGTGTAGTCTCCCGTCCAATTCATTTTTTTTATTTTATGCAGTACACAATGTAGTTTACATGTAATAAAACATTGTTAGGCACAAAAGAAACCCACTAATATGCAGTGCATTTCAGGCAGACTCTAGAAGGTCTGTAAGAGAGATTATACCTTCTCTAAGCCCATGTTTACTGTTTTGTAATGTTAACTGTTTTGTAATGTTACTTCAATGCTCTACACAGGTTCCGCTACTACTTATTATCTTCTATAATACCTTAACATGGTAAGAAGTTCAAGAATATTCGTCTGTAGCTTTAAAGCTACCTGTAGATCCCCTTTCTTTAAAATGGAAATGTTTGTCTTTTTTACAGTCATTAGGAATGTGCCATCTATTTCAACTTGTAGATTTTCACTGTCGGTACATCCACTACTCTTTTTTCTCTGTCACAGTCACAGAAACACAGCTTGTTAGGTTAGCTCTTCATATTTAACACCTCAATTCGCT